TAAGTAAGGGATGTGAGTTGTTAAGCTTTAAAAACTAAGAAAAAGTGGAGGATAGCAAAAGGCAAGACAAAAAGTGTAGATGACCAGTTTGATTACATGGCATGCCATAGCTGAAACTCAAAGTAAGCATTCCAGATGTTGGAAATGAAATTTTAATCCATCTAATCCAGTAACCTGGATAGGAATCCAACTTAAAACAGCCCTGATAAATATCTACCTAGTTTTTTCTTGAACACATTCAGCCAAGGAGAGCTTATCACTTGTCTATGTAATTGATTCCACTGTGGAATTGTTCTTATTGTTAGGAAATCTTTCCTAATGTTCAGTTGGAATCTGACTTCCTGTAACCAATACAACTTGCCTGGTCTAAACAATTATTCTCAGTAATCTATTTCAGATTCAATAGTCTTTATTATAGAATTATATTTGAAGTTCTCATTTCAAATCATCTGGATATTAAGTTCAGGCTTAGAAGCTCTGCTTTTGTTTTGGCCGCCTTTTAAAATAAAATAATCACATTTCAGGAGATGTAAATTTTGAGCATCTTATCTTTGAAATTCTTTCTTCAGAAAAGTTCACCTGACATCATTTTGTTTCTCCATTGGCAAAAAGGCCCCCCTCCCCCCGCAAAAAAGGTAAACGCAATAAAATCAGCCAATTGCATGGATTTACAAAATCTGGATGATCTTGAATCCTGAAATAAATGGGAGGCCATGGGCTGTCAGCTAAGAAGTGTCAGCTCGTGAGGCCCAGGAAGAGAACCTGTTATGCCATGATATTCCACCCTCTGGAATATTTTTCCTCTGAAGATCAGCCAGGACATGTCCCTAAAGACCTTCTGTAAGGCCTTAAAGACTTGGATCTGTGCTTGTCCCAAGTGAAGTACAGAGCTAATTTCTGGGTTATGTTTCATGGTTTTGGGCTTTGCATTTTTTCCCTGGGTGCTAGGGGTTTTATATTTTTTGTAATTTTTTAATCATTTTTAATACTGTTAGTCACCCAGAGTCACATATATGGGATCAGTGGCCGTATACAGCAAGTCCAGTAAATAAATAAATAAATAAATACAGTTATAGCATTCACTTTGCAACCATTGTTTCTGCTGTCCCAGTTTTTGGTGCAGAGAAGTGTCGCACTGTCTAGTTGACGCTCATTGTTGAATGCATGTGGAAATTGTGGTTGGTGAAAATAGGTCACTGTGATTAAATTAGGCTAGCTAGCACTTTAATCTACATTGACACCCACAAAAGCATTTGTACTAACCTACAAGATTGTAGCCAGTTTATAACTGTTTTATTTGTGAGAAAAAAGTTGTTTAATGGTATTTGAGATAAACATATAATGCCTAATTTGACTGTCTGATAATCTAAGGGCCATATTTAGTTCTTTATTTATCAGACTTAGAGGCATGGATCTCCGTATAGAAAATGGTTGTGACCATGGAACTGGAAATTTCCCTTTTAAGATTTTGGTGCTAAACCTAACAGTCAGGAGTATTTTGGACAATGTGCTTTTGGGTTTCCAGTTGTTTAAATAATAAATGGGCTCCAACACAGAAGGGCTGCGAATGAAAGCAACTTTTGTTAAAATTGTAGAAAAACATAAATCTTGAAGTCCCTGCATTGATTATCAGTAGCTTTTCAGGCCAATGCAAAATGCTTGGGAGTAAGGCAGGGAGGATTGGACACATTGTGTATTGAAGCAGCAGTTAAAAGTGGAGGGAAGGAAGGCACTGGGAGTTCTAGCCAATATCCAAGTTCACCAATAGATATATGATGGAGAGTGGCAGCGATTCCTTTGATGCCTTCTGAGTCTAGTCTCAACCAATGATTGCTTATTGACTTGTTGACAAAGGAATTAGAGAAAAAAAGGGCCCTTCAGCAAAGATTGGCCCAAGAATGACATCCCTTCAAGGCCTATATATCAAAAGGGAAAGAAAGTCTCCCAAAAAGTAGAGAAGGGAACTAGGGGATTAGCCATTTTGGATCTAATTCTCACTAACAGAGATGAAATGATAGACGGTGTTGAAGCCATAGGAACCCTGGGAGGAAGTGATCATGCAATATTAGAATTCAACATTATAGAAGCACAACCAATAGAACACAGACAAACTAGAGTCTTGGACTTCAAGAGAGCTAATTTCAATAAACTTAGAGAGGGCTTGGGAAGGATTCCATGGATGAGAATCCTCAAGGGGAAAACAACTCAAGAAGCTTGGGAAATTTTGAAAAATGAGATAATAAAAGCACAGTCTAGCACAATACCAACAAAGAGGAAAAACAACAGCTCTCAAAATAAACCAGCATGGCTGCATAAAGAACTCTCTGACAAATTGAAAGATAAAAAGGACAAGTATAGAAAGTGGAAAGAGGGGAACATAACTAAGTCAGAATATCAGCAAATAGCCCGAGCCTGCAAAGATGAAGTGAAGAAAGCCAAGGCTCAAAATGAACTAAGGCTTGCGACCAAAGTCAAAAATAACAAAAAAGCTTCTTTCAACATGTAAAAAACAAGAAAAAAGTGAAGGAAATGATTGGTCCATTAGTGGGTGGAAGTGGCAAGAAGGTGACAAGCAACAGGGAGAAAGCAGAACTATTTAACTCATTTTTTGCATCTGTCTTTACACAAAGGGAAAAAACAGACCAACCTATCAAAAATAGTGCCATAAAAAACAAAACAGAAACACAAGTTAAGATAGGCAAGAAAATGGTTAGTGAGCACCTGTCCAGCCTAGATGAGTTCAAATCGCCAGGACCAGATGGATTACACCCCAGAGTTCTCAAGGAACTGGCAGATGTGATATCTGAGCCACTGAACTATATTTTTCAAAGATCCTGGAACACAGGGGAACTACCAGAGGACTGGAAAAGAACTGATGTAGTTCCCATCCTCAAAAAAGGAAAAAAAAATGGATCAGGAAATTACAGACCTATCAGCCTGACCTCAATACCTGGGAAGATCCTGGAAAAGATAATCAAACAACGAATCAACGAACACCTAGAGGCAAACAAAGTCATTACTAAAAGCCAACATGGGTTTGTCAAAAATAGATCATGCCAGACAAATCTTATTGCATTCTTTGACCAAGTGACAAAATTAGTGGATCAGAGGAATGCTGTGGACATAATTTACTTGGACTTCAGTAAGGCATTTGATAAAGTAGATCACAACCTACTACTTGACAAGATAGAAAACTGTGGGGTAGACAGAACCACCACCAGATGGATCCGGAGCTGGCTGACCGGCCGTACTCAGCGAGTGGTCCTCAATGGAACTGCATCTATATGGAGGGAAGTGTGTAGTGGGGTGCCCCAGGGCTCTGTTCTGGGCCCAGTACTCTTCAACATCTTCATCAACGATTTGGATGAAGGGATAGATGGGGAACTCATCAAATTTGCAGACGACACCAAGCTGGCATGAATAGCCAACACTCCAGAAGACAGGCTTCAGATACAGAAGGATCTGGACAGACTTGAACACTGGGCACTAACTAACAAAATGAAATTCAATGGTGAAAAAAGCAAGGTTCTACATTTAGGCAAGAAAAACCAAATGCACAAGTACAGCATAGGTGGCACCATGCTCAATAGTAGTAACTGTGAGAGGGACCTCGGAATCCTAGTAGACATCACTTAAATATGAGCCAGCAGTGTGCGGCAGCTGCCAAAAAGGCCAACACAGTGCTAGGCTGCATTAACAGAGGGATAGAATCAAGATCACGCGAAGTATTAATACCACTCTTCAATGCCTTGGTAAGGCCACACTTGGAATACTGCATCCAGTTTTGGTCACCACGATGTAAAAAAGATGTTGAGACTCTAGAAAGAGTACAGAGAAGAGCACCAAAGATGATTAGGGGACTGGAGGCTAAAACATATAAGGAACGGTTGCTAGAATTGGGTATGTCTAGTTTAACGAAGAGAAGGACAAGGGGGGACATGATATCAGTATTCCAATATCTCAGGGGCTGCCATAAAGAAGAGGGAATTAAGCTATTTTCCAAAGCACCTGAAGGCAGGACAAGAAGCAACGGGTGGAAACTCATCAAGGAGAGAAGCAACCTAGAACTAAGGAGAAACTTCCTGACAGTGAGAACAATTAATCATTGGAACAGCTTGCCTCCAGAAGCAGTAAATGCTCCAACACTGGAAGTTTTTAAGAAGAGACTGGACAGCCATTTGTCCGAAATGGTGTAGGGTTTCCTGCCCGAGCAGGGGGTTGGACTAGATGATCTCCAAGGTCCCTTCCAACTTTACTACTATTATTATTATTATTAAAGGAAGCAGTGAACTTTCAAGTTTAAAAGACATTTTCTGATACCCCTTCTTGCAGTCTTCCTGGAACTTGAGCTATCATTTTGAAAAAGTTTCCTTAAGCCATTGTTTATCCAGTCTTTTGGCGATGTTTTTTTTTTTGACTATTTGCAGATATTTTGATTATTCGAAATGTGTCTAGACCAATGTCCCCAAGATGCTTTTTTCATGAGGTAACTGGACTTTCTTGTTTTTCTTTGAAGACGTTTCGCTTCTCATCCAAGAAGCTTCTTCAGCTCTGACTTGCAGACACCTGGTCATTGGATGAGAGGCAAAACATCTTCAAAGATGAACAAGAAAGTCCAGTTGCCTCATGAAAAAAGCATCTTTGGGATAACTATGACCTGGACGACTGAGAATCTCCATAGACGTCTAGACCAATGGTTCTCAATCTGTGGTCCGCAGATGTCACCACGGGGTCTGCAAAGATTGAAGAAATGTTCTAATTTAAATCTTGAGTTAAGTTTTGAGGATCTGAGGCCACGGTTTGTGGCCACAAAAGGTATTTAAAGGGGGTCCACTGGTTTGGACATAATGTTACATTATGGATTTGATGTAAATCTAATATTATATTGGTTAAAGGTGGTGTTTTTCGGACTTGTGAATCAGCTACAAAAAATTATGTGCCCATTGGTTTGCATTACATCAGACTTAGTAAAATGCTAATTTCATCTTTTTATTTTACAGCAGTCCATGAAAAGAAGAGGAAGCAAAGACTTGCAGAAATCAGAAAAAAAGCAGCAGACTCCCACTGAGGTGATTTCAAATACTTATTTTTCTTCCTAGTACAGTGCAATAAACTATGTGTTCCTAACTGACAGCTAGGGAAAGATTCAGGTTTTCAACAGGGGGAAAATTGTTGTTATTTTTGTGACATTCATGGTCTATATTGACTTCATTAATTCTGTTTCTCTATCATACCTACATTTATTTCATTCTTTGGAGATACAAATCTGAATTTGTTATTTAAATTACAGAGATTGTAACTTCTTGCATTTAAAATGAATAATTTGAGTGTCTGAAATAGTTACATAGGAAAGAGAAAAACGGCATGATTTTATCTTCTGGAAAAAATATCCTACTTGTTTATTTGCTATTATTAGATAATAGTGCCTTTCTCTCAAGGATCATAATTAAGATATCAAAATTTCAGTTACTTTACATAACTGCTTCCATTATCCTATATTTTAGATAAATTATAATGTATAAATCATATAAGTAACAAACATGATTTTTAATATAAAAAGATATATCTCTCTTTCTGTGTGTGCATGTGTATGTGTATGTACGTGCATATATATATTTCTTTGTTTGAAGTGTAACATCTGTTATACGTTTCCAATATTGTTTAGCATTATTAAATGCTGTTGAATAGGCTTTGGGATTTTTAACTGAGAATATATCATGAGGCTGATCTTGAATGTCTAATCTTGAGGCAGATTTGTTGGAAATATGAATCAGATGAATTTTGCCTCTGCTAAAACCCATGGAAAAACTCAGAATGGGTTTTTGGAACCTCTGTTATTGTAAATATCAGTGGTTTTCTTTTTTAACTGCCAAATAAGGTTGTTAATTATATATAAAGTAACTGCTGATTTTCTCCCCTTTTATAAGGAGGATAATGAAGATCTGAAATGCCAATTGCAGTTTGTCAAAGAAGAAGCAGCTCTAATGAGGAAAAAGTTGGCCAAAATAGACAAGGAAAAGGATAGATTTGAACATGACCTACAAAAATATAGGTCGTTATATGGTGACTTAGATAGTCCTTTACCAAAGGGGGAAGCTGGAGGCCCGCCTACCACAAGAGAAGCCGAACTGAAACTTCGTCTGAGGTTAGTAGAGGAAGAAGCCAATATCCTGGGAAGGAAAATAGTGGAACTGGAAGTAGAAAACAGAGGGCTGAAGGCAGAACTTGATGACTTAAGAGGAGATGATTTCTCAGGGGCAGCCAATCCCCTAATGGGGGAACAGAATGAATCTCTCTCAGAGTTACGGCAGCATCTGCAGTTAGTTGAGGATGAAACAGAACTATTGAGAAGAAATCTTGCTGATGTAGAAGAGCAAAATAAGCGCATCACAGCAGAGTTGAACAAATACAAATACAAGACTCACGATACTTCAAGGCATCATGACAGTGCCAAGACAGAGGCTTTGCAAGAAGAGCTCAAAGCCGCCCGCCTGCAGATCAACGAACTCAGTGGTAAAGTTATGCAACTTCAGTATGAGAACAGAGTCTTGATGTCCAACATGCAGCGCTATGATCTGGCCTCACATCTGGGGATCCGAGGCAGCCCCAGGGACAGCGATGCTGAAAGTGATGCAGGGAAAAAAGAAAGCGATGATGATTCACGTCCCCCCCATCGCAAAAGAGAAGGGCCTATTGGTGGGGAAAGTGACTCGGAGGAGGTCCGAAACATCCGCTGCTTGACCCCTACGAGGTCCTTCTATCCAACACCTACAGGATGGCAAAAAAGCTTCACAGACCGTCAGCAGATGAAGGATATTCGCTGTGAGGCAGAACGCTTGGGCAAGACGATAGACCGCCTGATTTCAGACACAAGCACTATCATAACTGAAGCAAGAAGTTATGTGGCCAATGGAGATCTGTTTGGACTTATGGATGATGAGGACGATGGGAGTAGGATACGGGAACACGAACTTCTTTATCGGATCAATGCCCAGATGAAGGCCTTCAGGAAAGAGCTCCAAGCTTTTATCGACAGACTCGAAGTTCCAAAATCTTCGGATGAACGAAGTACAGACGAACCTTTGTCAGTGAGTCAGGTAGATTTTTACTTTGTAAGCCATCTAGTTTTTAAACATATTCTGCCTGAGATGTTGCAGGAACATACGACAGTGGTTTTCTTTTCACCCTTGGCAGAACAATGGCAGAAGGAGCAGCTGAATGGAAGTCTCTGTGGCTTAACAGAAAAGGCTAAGCAGCAGTTTGAGCCTAATTCTAATTTCTTAGAGCAGTATCAAATTGGTATCACGGTTTGGCATATTGAGTACCTGCCAAGACCCATGGTTTCATTATGGATCCATTAGCAAAAGCTCTCTGGCTTGTACTGTTGGGTCTCTTCACTTTTGCCACAGTTCACTTGTTTTTCATCTCTTCTTCAGGGTGGACAAATGATGGTTATAAGAACAGGAACAGCTGCTTTCCAGCAGTCACTCTTAATGACAGGAGGAAGAGAAGGGGGAGGAGGGAAGAGAAGGGGGAGGTACAATTATGGATATGGAAGCTAAAAATATTGCGGGGGGGAGGAGTGGATAGGACTGAAATAGCCTTGCCTTTGGGCCTTCCAAAATGTGTAGCTATGCTAAGCCTGCAGAAGCAAAACGTAATAAAAGGAAAATAAGCACTGAAAGCCATTAAGAAGGAAGGACCTCTTGCATAAATTTTTCATGGGAATAATAATGTTAAACTACTGATGTACTTGATAAGAGGACTCAGCTAAAAATATGCTGAGAGAATGTATCTTTGGGCAAAGCTGCTTCTTCAGGTCTTGTTCAGTTCCAGAATATGACCTCTGTTAGGATAAAAATCGTTGGAGGTTGAGAGAATCATTGCACAATAAAATCAAGGAAATAACATAGCCCATGAACATCAAGGAACAACTTCATATTTGTGCTTGTTTAACATTTTGCAACCCCTTTTCCTGTAGGAATGCGAGGTGGTTGTAAATTTTAAAGATAACCACTGCTTTGAAATTTTTAAAATAGGAAGCTTTATACATTTTAAAGAAATAAATGTTGCAGTGGAGACCAGCAGATTTTTTTTTTAGATAGAAATTGCAGGATTTGCATAATGAACCAAAAAGGTTTGTTAAATTGAAAACCATTAGAACTGTTGAATTGATTTTAAACAAACAAACAAACAAACAGCCCAAATATTGCCTGATTGTAGTATTCTGCAGTGTGGTGAAATTTGGCACTGTCATGAGAATTTGATTATTTTTTAGGATTTATTTGTATTTTTAGTCTAAAGGAATTGCAAACATTCATTCATTTATTTATGACTTTTTGCCAGAAGCTAGAATGATAGCCTAGATCAGGGGTAGGCAACCTCGGCTCTTTTATGACTCATGGCTGACTCAGGAATTCTGGGAGTTGAAGTCCATGAGTCATAAAAGAGCCGAGGTTGCCTACTCCTGGCCTAGATGTTTTTAAAATAAATTCTAGGCAGTGTAATGGAGGAAAGTCCTACCAATAACCACCAAGTTTAGACGTAATATATTGGATGGCAAAGAGAATGAGGAAGGAGACTAGGATTCAGGCTATATAAAACCGTTAGTCTTTATTTCATTATTTTAATAGTCATCAACCATTATTTACATATAAAGCATTTGTGTATAATGGAAGAATGGACCTAAGTGTATTTCTGGTATGGGAAGAAACAAGCCTCCATTTTGACAGCCTTTCTCTCTCATAAATAGTAGAATACTATGGGATCTAGCAATTTCCACAAGGTGAAGGACAATGGTCAAAGTCCTCCCCTTTGTATATGGTGTGATATAAATACATGTACAAAAGCGACAATGGTTTGATAACCATTTTGACTTTTGACCCGCACATCCTCCATCCTGGAACTCTCTATATTATATATATAATTAAATTATATAATCTGAAACATATTTTTTCTCTTGAAATCTTGGATTTTTGGGGGGGTGAGATTAACGCAATATTATCTTGTTTTTGTATTTACTTTCCCAGATGTTCCAGCCTATCATTTTACTTATTCTCATCCTTGTCTTATTTTCATCCCTTTCTTATGCAACAATATTTAAACTTGTCTTTCTTTTCACACTGTTTTTTGTGCTGTAGATCTTTTCATCATTTTATCATTCATTGTAGCATTATCAGTTTATTTTATTTTGTCCATCCTCCCAAGATAAAAAGTGCAGAAGTTGTAGTTTCTGTAGCAATCACTGCTGTAAAAACACTGAAGACTTATTTGTTTGAAAACAATGGGAACAACCCTTACCTTCCAAAATGTGGATCATAAAAGAAGTAAAAAAGAAATATTCCCACCACTGAATCTGACTTCTGCTTACCAGAAAAGGTAGGAATATGAAAAGCAGAACCTTACATTTTAATATTTGTTTTCTTTTAAGTAATGCTTAGATAAAATGTGTTGAAAGTCTTACTTTTTTTTACAGAACTGAAAATCAATGCTAGAATAGAAATATTCCCATAAAGGGGAATATTTGTAGCTCAGGGTTGAAATGAGGGATCCTTGCTGCTCACTGAGCTTGGCTGTTTTCTTGCAAATGTTTTATTACCCAAACTAGTACTAACATTAGTGCCAGTAAGGAGTGCTAGTAACATCAACAGTGCTAGTAAAGAGCTTATATTCTAGTGCAGGGATAGACAACGGGCTGGCTCAGGAATTCTGGGAGTTGAAGTCCATGAGTCATAAAAGAGCCAAGGTTGCCTATCTCTGTTCTAGTGACTTGCTCTGACTCAAGCAGCCATTTCAGGTGTAAAGTCAACCCAAGGGGTAATTTAAATTGCTTGCCTTCTATTGTTGGCATGGAATGGTTGAGATGTGAGGCATGATGAAGATAGAGGTTCCTCTGCGTTCTAGTATCAAAGACCTGACAAAGCTTTTCTACTTAATTTAAAATAGAATGAACAGTAAGCAACAGAATACTGTATTAATACATACAAATAATCAAACGGAAGGCTATATCAGGGAATCTTTCTGTGGTGACAAAGTACATTAGAAGCCAGTTCTAAAGCTAACCTCATGTAACTCTTAAAATAAATCAGGATGCTGGATTAGAAGTCAGTAGCAGAGACTTATTAAGAATTTTGTGGTTTACGCTAATGTGTGTATTTTAAAACTCTAATTTTTTTATTTACAATATGGAATTATATTTGAAAACAAATGTTCTAAAACATATTGAGATTAAAGAAATTTTGTTTTTTTATGTCCTAATTGAATTGTTTAGAGCTGGTAGAGGGCAACTGTTGGGGACTTAAAATATGGTTCTTTCATGGTCAGCGTTACCTCTTACTTTTAAATAATCCCTCTTGAAAATGATAATGAGATGGTATACCCTCTATTCTAGCAGTAAATATAATTTATGCACATAAGTATTAATATATTTTGCAAGTTTAATAAGCTCAGTGATATTTGATGTTCTCCATTTTGTATATATAAAATACGAAGGAACACTAACAGTGTGACATTACTTTTGAAAATGATATAAAGTAGATTTAAGTATAAAACAATATATTCTGAATATGAAGTTAAAATAATATATATTTACAGGAATTTATTGAAAGATACTTTGAAATCCTTCTCTGCATGTCCAGATTCCATGCAGATTAGCTGCTGAGACAATATTTGATTCCCCCCCCTTTTTTTTGTAGAGCGTTTCAGAGTTCATACAATAGGATTAGATGAGATTTGATGGACAAACTGGTAACTTAACCTTTCTTTGAAGGTCTTGTCCTTTCCAGAACTTTCCATGCCTTTCTTACTATTTTATGTTTGAATTGAAATGTTTCTGAAGGGATTCTTCACATACTAAAAGGTAGCTGTAGTTTATTTCAATTTTAATCTAATTATCCTTTTAAAGAAGGGTAGAATATTTTCAAAACGAAATTGACAGAAAAATAATTTTGTTCTCTCTTATTGTCTATAACGGTTTAAGGGACTGTTTTGTTTGTTTTGTTTTTAAAAGAATTTTATAATGTATATTCAAAACAGACATAGCTGTGATTGGGATGCTGCAAATCCTACTCTACCACAGCCTTCTAAAATCTATAAGAGTTATCTTATTCATCAGTGATTGTTGATTGCTGTTATAATATCTATCTCGTTTATAACAAATTGCCTGATACTTAACAATTGCCCTCTATTGCAGAAAATGAGAAATAAACTAAACTGAACATTTAATTTTATATGGCATTTTTTTCAAAGAAATTGTTTTAAAGGAAAGAGGAAAATGATAGATCCTTCCATTTCTTGAGGTGTATATTACCAGCTTTAAAACAATCTAGGAATTTACAATCATAAAAATATGAAAAGCAACTAATGTGACATTCCAAAGTCTTGACTAAAAGGAATCCAGATAATATTTTTCATCAAGGATACTCTACAACTAATACCCTTATATGTTCTTTAAAACTTCTAAAATCTACTCTAAAATAGAAAGATATTAGTCTAAGATTGTCTAATGAGAAGACTGGAGATACTTGTGTCTTCTGAAGTGTATGGTAAATCCCCCCAAAGCATTTACCATCTCTGGAATCAATTACCGAAACGTTCTCTAGTTGCCCAAGGAATTGAATAGGTATGGCTTCAGCCTACAGATAGATGAGTTCAGAAGAGAAAAAAATTTCATACAATTACACATCCTCACATTTATACATCTAAGAGGATTCTTTAGGCAATGGTATTTTGTGTGTGGGCTCTGGTTGTATGTATAGAAATGCATGAAACTAGCATTCCTAAGCTGCAGTTGAAGAAGACATTGTATGAGAAAAGAGTGATAAAAAGGCTGAGATTCTTCACAGAATTTATTCAGTATAATTTGAAACTGTCCACTCTGAGCATTTTGGATGACATCAGTGATCTATTCACATATATAAATAGTCAAATTTTAGTACCAGGAAATCCATAAAACTGTATCCTTTGGAAAATCAAATATGGACAAACCATATTTTGTTATCCCATTGAAATTCTCTGTGCAGTGTCTAAGTTTCTAAGAGGCTATTGAGGTGAAGGAAGTTTTGTTGGACATAAAGGTTTAGTAGATGCTTTTCAGACTTTATTCCAGCACTGATATTGTAGGTTCAAAATCTAGCCTGTGTTTTAGAATTACATTTCTTATTCTCTGAAAATAATGCCTGATATATTTGGCTTTATAGCATTTTCAGTAGATGTGTCACAAATATCAATGATTTCAAACTTTCTTATCTAACTTTCCTGGGATTTTTTTGGACTTGTAAGATCAATTTTTATTTTATTTTATTTTATTTTGGCTTTTTTTAAAAAAAAATTCTTCTTTCCAGTGTAACCAGAAGACAAAGGAGAGTAATTGATGAATATCTTTTGAAAATAAGGCTGTGTATATAGCACGGTACAACAACCTACTGCATTTCTCAGCTTCAGTATAGTGTGACTTGCTATATCAGAATCACTGCTCACCAGAAATACAAAGTTTTTACCAAGAGAAGAAAAGAAAAGCAAGGTTACAAATTGAAAGAAATCCATGGGAAGGAAAGCTCATGCTTTTGAGAGTTGGAAAATGTCCAGAAGTTCTCAGAAGTGAGAATAATGTGAGTGAACGGGATATTTCATTGATGGTAATCCAAGATTCAAGTTGTATTATGGGTGTGTGTTGTGCATTTATTTCCCATATGCAATAAGAGAGACATACACAAATATGAAAATATTATTATTTTTATTATTATTTTATTATTATTATTATTTGCCTTTTGAATAAAAATGAAGCACAAAGAATAGCAATAAGAATAGATTTTTTATTGCACTTTTCCCTTTGAAGAAATTGAAAGGCGCATAAAGATACCCAGCCTTAAAAACTCATGGGCAAATGCAGAATTCTTAGAAATATAGAATTGAAAAGAACCTCAGAGTCATATAGTCCAATCTCTTGCTTGGTATACAATCTACCAGGGAATTTCTGACAGATTACCATCCAGCCTCTGTTTCAAGACCTCTAGTAAAAGAGAATACACCATTTCATGTAACAGCCAGTTCTGTTGTTTGACAACTTGTAGAATTAAGTGTCCAACCAATGATTGATTTCTTAGACATTTAACTCACTAGTTTTGGCCTGTCCTTTTCTATATAACAGCCTTTAAGATCTTTGAAGACTGCTGTCATATCTTCCCCTCAGTCATGTTTTTAATAAGCAAAACATACCATAACTATTACACATAGGTCTTGGTTTCCAGGCTCCTAACATGCTCCAATTTGTTGTGGCCCAGTTCCAGAACTGCCAGAATGGGGCATAGTATTCCAAATAGGGTCTGAATGGAGCACAGTAGAGTGGAACTATGATTTCCCATGATCTGTATTCTTAGTGCACTCCAGGTAACATTTACCTTTTTAGTAGCTACATAGCATAACTTTCATTTTTTTTTTTTTTGGATCTTAATATAACACACTGTACCACACATTCAAAAAGATAGAAGATTTAGACACCAAATACATGTCAGGTTCAATGTGCTAACATCAATGCCTACAGGCACCTTTTAGGAGATCTTTGTGAGATAAGAGGGGGGGAGAGGACTTGAAGTGCCTCTGTGGTCACAAGTGTGCCGAATTGATCACAGGAGCACTGCCACAATTTGGGGAACTGGCATCCATTTATCATTGCCATAACTTCACATGCTTACTGAATAAACAAGTCGAGGACTATTAGTATTCAAAGGACTTACAGTTCAGAACCATGGAGAGCAAACTTACACTTATGTGCACAATTTATCCTAAGATTAGTTTATTTATTTTTAAATTGTTGAAAAGAAGGCATATCATAACCTCTCTACAGCTTCTGAATGGAAGACTGTACTACCCTGATGTTCAGTCCAATATGGAGATACTAGTTCTCTTTTATTTTCAGAGCTGCTGACAGTGTCATTTGGACCATGTTACTTATAGGATTCTAGAACTTTTCACATTAGTCTGCATCAGAGAAGGTCTTTCTGCTAAAGATTAATTGCTAGTGTTAACATATATCCTACTGTGTTTAAAACTTCATGCTGATAGAACAGAGCAGTAATAAAATCATTAAACAATATAGTTCACTCTGTAACCTTGGAAAAACACTTTTTAATGCACATTGGCTGTATATACAAACAAGGCCATTTAAAACTATAAGAAGGCTTTGGGATAGTTTATACCTTCCTTGCATACCATGCACTTTTTTACATTGTATTTATTTTTATCTTAACGTAAATGTATAATTTATTTGGTAAAAGCATAATATTTATTTGCTGTAGGGTTGGTCAGCAATGCTGATAATTGTTCTAGTGCTGTTACATCAGTGTTTCTGAAGGGTATTTATTTATCTTTTTCACTCAGGTGACCACATTTGCACGGAAGTTTCTTAAAGTGGCCAAATGGGAATAAGCTTCTGGACTACTATCAAAATACCTGCTATGAGAAGAATAACTCTGAAGGAACTCCCTTGAACTTTGGCTGAGGGATCTCAGTGAAGCTAGGTTTATTTTCCATGACCACAATCACTTCTATGCAAGTGCACATTGGTCAATAACCTCACTTTTTGACATGCTGGAGAAATGATGTTGATTCTTAGGTCACCCTTCCAGTCTTCAGTGTTTTTATCAATGAGAGAAGGATACCCCTCCCATCACGCATATAGATAGATAGATAGATAGATAGATAGATAGATAGATAGATAGATAGATAGATAGATAGATAGATAGATAGATAGATAGATATAGCTCATGCATGGTAAATTTTCCTTTAAATGACATGCTATGGTTCCTCATCTCCATACATTTTTTTAAAAAATTAAATACTGTATAATTCTGTACATTCTGACTTTTCCCACAAGCAGCAGGAAGACATGCTGTGTGCATGATCATATGTTTATAGGTGCATGTGTTGGAATAGGAAGTATTACTAGTCTGTATTTAGATGACACAAAATTAATACTACTGTTGATGCTGAAATTAGACATGCCTATTTGTAGGCAAACATATACAAACAAAACCTTTTGTGGTTTATTTTATTTGAAGATATATAGCTCTGGCAACAGGTATTTTCAAAATACCTTTTACAGGTTTCACAGGTCCACTATTTGATATAAAAAAATGAACGCGTGCATTTTTGTAATTGTAACAACAGAGAAAAGGCGTTCATATAAAATGTACTACTTAGCTCAGTGGATTGATTTCTTATTTATGCTTAATACTCTTTCCCTCTTCTTTACACTGCTAGGTCAAAGTGAGCTGTGAATATTTTTCTGACTTCACTGATCTACCACTTATAACTGCATTTACCTTTTTCAGTGCACAGACATTTGTAAAGCCCATCATCTCTCTTAACATTCTGCCACTCATGGTAATCCAGAGACTGGTTTTCAGTGGAATTACTATCCAGCAACACTGTTGAGCAGAGAAGGAAGAACCAGGCCCATGTCTGTACAACATCTTAGGGCATAAATAAATATTTTTAAGAAAATTCAGGCCTTCTGATAACACTTGCCTTGTGTCGTGACATGTTGGTGTCCCTGCCAAGTATACTCAGTGATACGGGGATGCTGATGTGAAGGAAAATGAACCATGTGACAGAGTGGGATGGGATGGGGATTTAATAGATAAATACTATTTTGTAGGGACGACTTCATGCCTTATGAAGTTTTTTTCTGTGTTTAAACAGTTTTCTTTTTAAATAACCTAAAAGTAATGTCTTTTAAAGTGGTGTCCAAGAATATACAGTGACTTACCCTTACCTGCTGATGTCCAGGAGTATGTTGTAATTTCTGTAATTCCCAATTAGCACAGCCTTGTACTGAAGTCCAAAATATTTGGAAATTATCAGATAGAAGGCTGGTGTATATAGTTAATAAAAAAGTTCCAAAGGTGTCAAAGGTATACCCATGGATTTGATGCCATTTTTCTCCCCTTGTCTTATTGATCAAGAGCTATCAGGAGATAAGGTTAATCTATTTTGAACAAAAGCAAAATAGTAAGCGCTCAGTGGAACACAGTTCTGTATTCATCCATGTGAATCTGTTTTTATTTTTGCTTTTTAAGTGACACTGGACTTCTGGTGGTCAGATTAATCATATACGTTCTTCTCATTGAAATGCTTTTAGTAATTGGGTAGCTTTGCTTTTGAATTGTGCCTAGTATCCAGCGTAGATATGTTTCAGGTGCTTAGAATCCAGACTGATTATTAGCTATCGCCTGTCTCTATGTGAGTGATTGTTTTAATACAGTATGTGTATAGTCTGATTGAGTTTCTCTTCCAACAGTCTAAATGAAATAACAAATCCTATTAAGATGCCTGGCTAAGTGTCATGAAATGGGCCCCCTTCCACCTTTGAATTTTCATCCCCTTGGAATTTCATAGGAGGAAGGAGCAGACAGCATTCAACTAGCCTTTTTAAAATGTTCCTCCACAACAGCGGTTCTCAACGTTTGCGTGACGGCGACCCCTGTCACACAAACGTTATGCGCATGCGCGGCGCGGCACGCAGGGGGCGGGGCCCCATGTGCGGCGCACATGCACGGCACCCCCCATGCGCGGCGCGCATGCGTGGCGGCGCCCCCCGGAGGTGCGGCGCCGCCCCCGGAGGGGAGAAAATGGCGGATCGCCGCCTTTGGCGACCCCCAAAAAGTGGTCGATCGACCCCAAATGGGGTCGCGACCCATAGGTTGAGAACCGCTGCTCCACAAGAAGACAAGAGAACAGCCTGTGTGTATTAAATAATCCATTTCATGCCAACAAAAGCTAAATTCTGCAACCTGTGAACTTGCACACGCTCTAAGCAAATTTGTTTATACAGGTAGTCCTCAACCTACGACCACAGTTGAGCCCAACATTTCCATTATTAAGTACGAGTGCAGTACTGCAGGCCACTTTAGCTGACTGTGTTCAGCAGGTCAGCGGTTCAAATCTCACCGGCTCAAGGTTGACTCAGCCTTCCATCCTTCCGGGGTAGGTAAAATGAGGACCCAGATTGTTGGGGGCAATGTAAATATATATATACATTGCTTACTGGTGTACACCGCTTAGAGAGTGCTTGTACTTAAAGCGGTATATAAGTCTCATAAATAAATAAATAAGTGAATTTTGCCCCATTTTACAGCCTTTCTCGCCATAGATGTTAAGTGAATCATTGTAGCTGCTAAGTTAATAACAAGGTTGTTAAGGGAATCTGGCTTCCATGTTGACTTTGCTTGTCAGAAGGTCACAAGAGATGGGACACTGTAACTGTCATAAAATACATGCCAGCTGACAATGTCCAAATTCTGATCATGTCACCGACCACAGGGATGCTGCAGTGGTCGTAAATGTGAAAAACAGTCATAAGTGACTTTTTCAGTGCCATTGTAACTTCAAACAATCACTAAACGAATGGTTTTAAGTCAAGAACTACCCATGTTTCATATTTTATTTTGTTTCTGCTATTCATGGGAAGGAGAAGAATGGGGCATTGTATTCTAATCATTATACGTACTATTCCATCTTGCGTTCTTATAAACGTTACAAATTTTTATTAATGCTTCCTTGCAATTCCAATGCTAACAGTCTCCTCCAAATGATTAGAAACTTTGCTTTCTTTTATTTAAAGAAAAACAAGAATTTTAAGATGCTGACTTTTGTATACCTGGCTAGTTTTTGCAGTCACATGGTACAATCAAAGGGTTGCTTCACCACAGCAGATTAAGCCATCATATATTTGGCTTGCTTTAGGGTGTTGAATGGAGGGGGTGGAATTCATGATTGGTGGTGATGAGATCATCATAAAAATGAGAAAAATTGTGATACGTCAGTGAATGGACATAATAGAAATAAGAATGGTTTGTAAAGATAGAAAGTTTGGAGTGCTATAATGATTTGTTAAGAAAAAATACTTATCACTTGTTTTAACTTGGTTACTGTTTCTTACTCCTTTTTTGAACTTTTAGCCATACTGTTTACCCTGAAACAGAACTTTGTGATGGGTATACATGGCTGATGTCTCAGTAATTAAAAGGGATATACAAATCACAAACCAAGAGAGTGACCTGCATAATGTTTCTATAATGGATTTACAAAAGAGACTTTTGTTAAAGCTCTGAAGAATTTTGTGAGAAGAAAAGACAAAGACAAAGTGAAAATAATTCAAGTCTTAGGGCATTGTTTGAATGTCAAGATTGTTAAAAGGAAGGAATATAAATTTGGTTTAGTTGATCAAGGTTAAAATAGTTAAGCTGTTATCACTGAAAACCTTTAATGGATCTTTGCTGATCAGGACTAAAATGCTAAGGATTTTAAGGATTTGTTTAGAGATAAAGAAAGGGATATGAGAAGAAAAGATAATTAGTTGTATTTTAAGAGAAGGTGATAAGTTACCAAAATAGTTTATATTTGTGTTGAAGGGAAAATAATTTCTTTTGTTTTTCTTTACAGTTTCGTCATTTTTTGTTTTCTATTAGAGCAGTGGTTCTCAACCTTTTTAATGCCGTGACCCCCAACCGGTCGTAAGTCGAGGACTACTCAACTGGTCGTAAGTTGAGGACTACTCAACTGGTGCAGCACCGTTTGCAGAATGGGACTTTTGGCGGGCTCAGCAGGGCAGAGACAGCCTGGACAATTCCTATTGGCTTTTGAAAGCCAATAGAATTAGACTCTATTCAAGAGAATCTATTCTATTGGCTTTCAAAAGACAATAGAATAAAAGGGAGTAGCACATCTAAGGAAAAGGGGAAAAAATGGCGGACTGCGTTGTTTGGCAACCCCCGTGAAATGGTCGTTCAACCCCAAATGGGGTCCTGACCCACAGGTTGAGAACCACTGTATTAGAGGTTAACACTATCTGAACTAAAGTTGCAGAAATGTGCTACCAGTTCTGTAACTTATTTTTAAAGCATCTGTTGCATTCCCCCCAAAGATAAGCAGGGCACCCACTTATTTAAGTTCCACAAGGCTTTTATGATCTGGCTCTGCTCTTAAGCGTAAGGCTAATGTGTTAATGGAACCTCCGTCATCTTTTTGATTATTATGTCTGGGCTGTTAATGCTTTGTAGTTATGTTTTTAATGGCATGCTGGATGGTGAAAGCCCTCCATCCTTTAATGTTTAAAAGTGTATGACTTGCACTGTAATAAATAATAGAAACGGGTGCCCACTGGCGCCTGTGGTGAGGTAGCCATGCCTGCCTAAGGCAGAGTAGAGTTGAGTTTCTCTATTCTTTTTTCTTCTCTTAAAAAGATTTTAAATATCTAAAGACATTATAGTGCACATGTTGAAATCTCAACATTGGGGCTAGCAACAAAGCAGCAATATTTTTGCAAAGATGTACGGTTGCGATGTTCACCCTGTTTTTGCTGGTAGCTGTATTAAAATTTGCAGAGGGTTTAAGATGCCAACTTAACTCTTTTCCTGTCAAAAAAAGACAAACATGAAAAATCATACTCTGAAAATGAGACGTTTGCTTTCAATTCTTATGTGGTTGTGGAGCGGTCCTAGTAGAAATAAGGCTAGATTTATTGGTTGCCCCCTTTTCTCTTATTAAAGAAAGAAAGAAAAGTATTTCACATGCTTATTATTCCAAGGGATGGAGGTGAGTGTCTGTCTCAGCCATACCACAGTCAAAAGCATATCTTGAACTTAAAAGGGAAAGAGGGCAAATTATCACACTAACAAGAATGATAAAGACCACATCAATAGCAGAAAGACTAATAATCATGACAGCCCCCAAACCCATAATATCACAGATTATTTAAACTGTGTCCATCTAATACCCTGGTTAGTTTGCTAAGTGGAATACAAATCACAAATGTAATTATTTGTGGTTCTATACAGTGTACATACCCAGAAAGCTGAAGTAACAAGTTAGTAATGGGTAAGTAAATTAATTCACTATAAAATAAATAACATAAATTACATTTTAGAAATACATGTTGTAACAGTCCATTTGACAAATATGCAGAAGAAACAAAGGAAATGAATGCTAAGATGGATTTTGTGAGGGATATGAATGGTTCAAAAATGTGAAAAATATGTGACATCTAGTCCAATCCATGTTGTTTTCCGGAAGTGCCATTAAGGTCGGGTGAACTTGTGCTGTAGTTCACACAAAAAGGGAAACTCATTTTCAAAATGCAGGTAAGTGGGGGTAATAGATTGCTTCCCCTTCTTTTGAACATAGCTCAGATGGATTCTGTATCTGAACCAGGGGTGTATATGTTTATTTACCTCATTATTAGCAACAAATATCTAAAATGATTCAAGAAGAATTTTATCAATTTACTCTGATAATAAGTACTTGTCGATGTTCATTTTAGGGATGGTGACAGGCTGTGGTGGGGATAGAATCTGTAAACAGCCTGTTGTTATCAAACAGTGACAAATAAAGGGTTTACACCCATACACAGGTTCTGAGCTCATCTTTTCCCAACAAACTCTAGGATTATCCCTTAAACATGTAGTATGCGATAGATTGACTGACACATATTCCTTTTGAAAATTTTACTCAGCTTTTTCAAAATCTTTAGCCTTTATAATGTTTATAACATTATTTGTATATTCTTTATAACCTATCTTCTAGTAGAATATACCCCTAAATACTATAAAGCTATCAAAATTCCCTCAGATCTATATAATGTTAATTTATGTCTTTTACATTTTCCTACCTTTTTGTCTTAACCCTATTTTAATTGTTGTTCCTAAAGTGCACAGCATTTCTGCAACACTTCTATCCATTTCAGCTAGACCTGACCCCAAATCTCTTGCAGATGTTGCACTTTATAACCTAGGGTTAGTTCCATTGATGGTTTTTTGCCTCTCATCTTTTGAGGTGATCTTGCCTTTAAGAGTCTTTAAGAAGTTAAAGTGATAGGTACACTTTTATCATCTGTGGAGCTGGGTCAAGACACCATGGCTCAAGTGTACAAGTTCCACCAATTGAATATTACATGAAGTTTTTCAAGGTATGTGAAGGACAGGTTCCCCAAAAAATGGGTGGAGGCAGGCAACACGTACTGCTGTTCCCAATATTGGTTCCAAATACTCTGGATAAGCCCTGAGAACCACAAAAGGAATGCTAATGGATAACATGCAATGTATTTATTAGGTTTCTATAGCTGCCCATGTTAGCAAGTAATCTTCAAACTGCTTTTTGCTCTCTTAATTGATCTCATCCAGTATCCAGCATCCTGCCTTGATTCTTTTTCCCTTGCGCTGTTGCAAATCAAATTAGCAACTTTCTAGAGGTTGGAAGAGGATATGGTTGGAACCTGAGCAGGAACATTCCAGCTTGTAACACTTCCAGGTACCAAATTGTAGACATTGTTGCGGCTGTCAGTAAGAAGTAGGATAGCTGATGCAGTAAACAGTCTGCTTTCTCCCACAAAAGGGAAAAAAAACTGAAAAAAAAATCCCTTGCCACAGACTTTTGAACAAATTCAACAACCATGGGATAAAAGGGCAAGTGGTCCCTTGGATATAAATCTAAGAATAGAAAGAAAGGGTAAGAATGAATAGCTTTCAAATTAGGGAGGTTCCAGTGAAATTCCCAGAAATCGATGCTGGGACCAATTTTTTTTGTAATACAATTTATGTTTTATAATAGTTGTAATATTATGATAGCCAAAAGATCAGTAATGGAAATGAATAATTGTTTTACAAAAAACAGTTTTAGTATTACATAAATATATGTTTGTTTAAAACATTGCTAGTGCCTCCCTCGTTCTTAACCATTAACACTTTGAAATTGACGTTATGCATGCAGTAGACCAAGGGTCCCCAACCCCTAGTCCATGGACTGGCACCGGGCCACAGCATGCCAGAAATTGGTCTACGCAAACAAGCAAAGCCCCATCTGCGGGATGCCAGCAGTACATGAAACCACGCCTGCTCCAGTCTGCAGAAAAATTATCCACAGCACTGGTCCCTGGTGCTCATAAGGTTG